ATAAAATATCTCTCACTTGATGAAACTACTGTGGTATATTATTAACATAGAGGATAAGAGTTTTAAGTTATAAAACATCTGTGAAATGGCTGAAACTTTCCTGGGGGGACACAAACAGCCCTCATCCATAGTTCAATAGCTCCCCCTACTGACTGCTAAAAAGGTGGAGGGAAAGACAAACAGAAGAAAAATCCAAAACTAATTGATTTTCAACACTCAGTGGTATAAACTAGAACCACATGATCATTCCAGACATCAGCAGACACTATAATAACCATCACATGTACACTCAAAACAAGAAAAGACTGTAAAGCAGTGTATGTGCAGCAAAGCTTTGCTCACGGGACAGTTTTTCACTTTTGTCTTTCTCAAGGACACGTACAACAGCAGATAACATGGACATTCCATCTGTATGATGACATGAAAGAGCCACATTTGCTTGTTACATTCGCTTCTGTGTTTTCATCCACACAGAGTTAATGTGTAACATTATTAGTTCTGTCAGTGCTCAAGTTTCTCTCTGACTCTTTTCTTCCCTTAAAAGGTCTTGAGCAGTGGACTTACTCTGAATGCCAAAAGTGAGGGGGTGGGACTGACCTAGAATTTCAACATAATGTGAAGAAAACCTGATCCATCTTGTATTAACTCCCCAATAACCAAACTTTCTCTCTTTAATAAATAAATAAAATCTAAAGAAGATAGATAGATAGATAGATAGATAGATAGATAGATAGATAGATAGATAGATAGATAGATAGATAGATAGATAGATAGATAGATAGATAGATAGATAGATAGATAGATAGTTTATCATTTGTCATGTTTTGGTTAGAAAAAAAACTATGTTTTCCATGAGTCAAAAGTGTCTGCATTGTGTCCCTTTAAACTTTAAAACTCAAACAATACCTTTACGCGTGGCGCGAGAACAGCATGCGTGTTTATGCGGCATTCTCTTTTGCCTCAAAGTTGCTTGTTTCCCGGGAGATTCAATAAAGGAAAAGAGGAGGGAGGGGGCGATGGATGAATGGGATCCGTTCATCCTGTTAGCTGCAGAAAAGCAGGAAGAGAATAAACTCGGGGCTGGCAGCTGGAGTGCAGGAAATGTCGGGCCTGTGGCAGATGGTCGGGTGGGGCCTGGAGAAGGGGGAAAAATGGGAGGATATCTGACGGGAAGCGGGAGGGTCTAACCAGGGAAGATCCGCCCAGGAGGAGGGGTTTCAGAGTGGCTCACTTGCGCACATCTGCTGTTTGAGTTGTGTAACTACAAGTGGATATTTTATTTTGAATAGAATTCTAGTTTTTTTGTGTTAAAAACAGCGCAAAATATAAATTAAGTTAATGAAATATTCGCAAAAAAAATGCAATTCAGTCTGACACATGTATTTATTTATTCCAATGTATTAATATATTTTCCATTATAAAATATTTCAATAATAACTAGCCTTTCCAAATTACTTTGCTTTTTATATCTATACAATTTTGATATGATCACATCATTTAGTGAAAGAATAGGCAATATACAATTTTTAAAGAAGAGTTGTTACTGCAAAGTCACAATGATAAAGTATTGCAATCTTCTTCTTCTTCTTCTTCTTCTTCTTCTTCTTCTTCTTCTTCTTCTTCTTCTTCTTCTTCTTCTTCTTCTCCTAATAATAAATGTTATTTTATTATTTTCCATTCACCTAACAACATGAAGAATATTTTAAACCCAACATCTTTAAAACATGGTACTAAAGTTTGTAACATTATTACAAATATCAAGCAGAAAGTTTTCCAAACTTTTCACAAAATTAGACAGCCATAGGCTACTGAATATGGAGCATGATCATTTTCTATATGGCCGATATCCCAAAGTCCTGGAAACAAATTTGTTGTTGCCTCCTTAATATGCTGTCAATTCTTTTTTTTTTTTTTTTTTTTTTTTTTATACATTTCAAACTTAAATGTTTGTTTCAGTAATTACTTACATATATATTCACATCTGTGAAACCAATGGCAAATCTTTCTTCATAAAAAAGGGCATTGCTACTTTGATTTAACAGAAGGTTGAAGCTTCAATAATATCTGCCAGTTTGGTTTTGATTAGGTTAGAGGAACACATCAAAAGAATTGCATTGGAAATCTCTCTCTCTCTCTCTCTCTCTCTCTCTTCTCTCTCTCTCTCTCTCTCTCTCTCTCTCTCTCTCTCTCTCTCTCTCTCTCTCTCTCTCTCTCTCTCTCTCTCTCTCACTCTCTCTCTCTCTCTCTCACTCACTCTCTCTCTCTCTCTCTCTCTCTCTCTCTCTCTCTCTCTCTCTCTCTCTGTTGTCAGTCTGGATGCTGCAAGTGGTTTAAAAAAGTTATTTTAATTTAAAAAAAGGTAAACAAACAAAAAAGCAGTCCTTTCCATTCCAGAGAAATAAACCTGAGCTCTTGGGCCCTGAAGAACAGGCTTCTGCACAATAATGTGTAATTGGCTGATAAAATGGGACACATAATGAAGAAACATAAAGAGTTTTAGAGTATTTTGCTGCAGTCTAGTCCTGGCAACACTCGCTGCATTTTAAAGAGCTGTGCTTGAGTCTCAAGGGCATCAGGCAGGCAAAAAAAGTGCACTTGACTGCAGCACTATGACACTGGCACTGTGGCACACCAGTAGGCAGACTCTTTTTATTTACATTTGACAGAACTGATAATAGCCAAACAGGCAAGGGTGGCCTAGAGCTATTCCCATTTTCATGAAATTGCCTGAAACTAAAACCTGCAGGCTGAGTGTTTGAATGACTTTGGAGCTTAATGGGATAGTTCACCCAAAATTTTTAATGTCATTAATTACTCACCCTCATGTTGTTCCAAACCAGTAAGTCTTTAGATCATCTTCGGAACAAAAATGAAGACATTTTTGAATGAAATCTGAGAGCTTTTTGTCCCTCGGTTGACAGGTACGCAACTTCCGTAAAACTAATCCATATGAGTTGAGTGGTTTAGTCCACATTTTCCGAAGAGACTCGAACGCTTTATATAAACAGATTTAATTTAGGCTTTTATTCACATATAAACATTGATCAGTGAACCTGCTTGACGTGCGAGAACAAACCTCATTGGTTCTTGCTGAAGCTCAAACGTGCTGCGTAAAATGAGAATAAACCCCATTGGTTCTCGCACGTTAAGCGAACATGCTTGAGCTTCCATTTACCACAACTGAACGGATGTGAGTTGATGAATGTGTGTATGTGAATAAAAGACTAAATTCAATCTGTTTATCATATAAAGCGATCGTGTCTCTTCAGAAAATTTGGACTAAACCACTCCATTCATATGGATTAGTTTTATGATCTATTTATGAACGCTTTGAAGCTTCAAAGTGGTAGTTGCACAGCTGTCAATGGAAAGATAAACATGTACAGATTTGATTAAAAAGATCATTTGTGTTCCGAAGGTAAACAAAAGTCTTACCAATTTTTGGAACGACATGAGGGTGAGTAAAAATGACAGAACTATCCCTTTAATCTTACTGAGGTACTTTTACCCTGAAATATAAATGAAAATGTCTTTCTTTCTTTCTATCTTTCTTTCTTTCTTTATTTCTTTATTTATTTCTAAAAAAAAAAGTATTTATTTCACATGAAGTGTAGAATTAAATGTTTTAAATTAATATGTTATATTAAATGTTTTTAACATAATTTAAAATATTATATTATAAAAGACAGTTTGCATTAAGGCATATAGTTTATATTCCAAGCCAATTGCAAGTTGTCATTCAACCCAATTCATTTTAATTTAAAAAAATATATTGTGTTTCTTAGAATATGCATATGCTTTGAATCCCTACATGTGTGTGGTAACACAAGTGTACATCATCTTCTGCCAATCAGCTCCCAAGAGTGACAGACTGACTATTATTTGTAGTAAAAGGGCGACATCTAGTGGCATTAAACCAGATTATTTCTGCTCACTGCAGGGTCCTTTTAATTTTGTTTTCAATTTATAATGACTGTGATTAATTTCTAAATCTCTGCTTCTTATGTTACACTATATCATTGTTTTACTTAAAATAATTTCATAATTTATTTTAATTTATCCAGACAGAAACTCAAGAACTTCTAGACTTTGGATTCATTTTGATTATGTATTTGTATTGACACAGATGAGAAACACATGTGTCAATAGTGAGTAGTAATGATTAACATTCAGAAAGCAAAAACAAAAAAATTGTTTTGTCTCTGTGAAAATAAGTCTCGCTCTGCTGTATAAACATCACTGTTTAACATCACTGTTTAAAGCATGTACTGTACACCACTTTATACTGCCCATTTGTGGACAAGTTATAAAAAATCTAGTTTACAGAGGCTTCAAGTAGCTTACAATGATGCAATGAGACCTACTGGCAAAGTGCGAGTTAAATGTTTGTAAGTGTGGGAGTTAACACATTTAAAGCCGTGTTACGGAATCTTATGTACAGATTTGTCTGCCGACTTAATGCTTCTAAAAATGAGGTAATCATGGGCCTATCAAATATAAGGTTTAGCACTACACGTTATCAGTCTAAGGTGGAAACACTGGTACTTTTGTATTTTTGTAACGTATTGATGTAGCCTATATATCTATAATTTCTTTTTTTTTTTGGTTATGCGTTTTAAAAAACTGGACCCTGCGTCTGTAATATTGATTAGCTAATACATTTACATTTTGATAAAGCCATTTACAATAGGTCATTTTTTTTGTGAAATTTAAATAGAAAGAAAACAAATAGGAAAAGAGAAATATTATATCTATTTTTCTGACAGACAAGAACAAGGAAAACCCACACCGTGACACTTTTACTTAGTCTGTAGAATTTAGCCACGCAGTTACAAACTCAAAAGCCCTTTTAAGAAACAGAAACAGAACTTTACCCTTCCTGTTACTTTCTGCAATTTAATTGGATGCGAAATATCTGTGTCAGTAATAAATTGTAATGATTAACTATACCTCAAAGTACAAAAGCTATGTGTTACTTTCATAAAGCCAAGAGCTTCTGTCTCTGACTATCAGGATGAAGGTGAATATTGCTCTGCTGATGCTGTGCTGTCTGTCACTCACTGATGGACAAACTGATGTGCAAGAAAACAACCTGCCAGACATCTGGAAAGAGGTGAGAGATGTAAGAGACATGATGGTGGAGCTCAGAGTCAAGTTGGAAATGGTAATGAATGACAATTCAAGTTAGTAGTGGTTGCTTTTTCTGTCACCCTTTAAATACTTATCTTTAAAAAAATGGATTCAATAAACACTATATAATACAAAGCAACATTAAATAAGTCATTTAAATAAATAGACTCATAATGTTTTATAGAAATGGCAAAACAAATACTGGAGCTGAAGAAAGAGAATGCAGGTACTCAAATGTATTTAGATGCCACCCAGTTTTCAAAATGGAATAATGTAACAAAATCTGTCAAAATTAAAATTGAAAAGCCTTATTAAGAAGCATGATATGTTACGGTGTGGGAGGAAAAAGCTTTATTCAATGTAGGAAATGCATCCTATGCTCCTTTAAATAATATTAAATAGATATATTTTCAGCTAGAATTAATGATTTGAAATATTTTAGGGCTAAATGAGCACATGAAGGTCAGTGAAACCCAGCTGGAAGCATTAAAGAGAGAAAATGCAGGTAAACTAATAAAATTGTCCTTTTTATTGAAACATTTAAGGTATTTACGGTCAGTATTTAATGCACAATAAATATAACCCGGAACGTGTGTTTTTAATTTGGGCTTGAAATTAATTTCTGTCCACAGAACAACCTAAAGTGGCATTTTCAGCTGACTTGGGGATCCGTGGCAATATAGGTCCCAAGACTACTGAGGTCACACTGGCATTCAACAATGTCTTCACAAATATTGGTAACAACTACAACTCAACAACAGGTACTTTAAGCTATAGCCAATGTCTTTCCTTTTCATCAGACCCATTTTACATTTGATCTGACGGTTTTGTCAATGGCAGGTCTCTTCACGGCACCAGTTAAAGGAGTGTACTACTTCAGATTCACTATATGTGGTATTCAAATCAACCAGTCAATGGGTGCAAATTTATATAAAAATGGGCAGAATATTGTGTCAGTGGGACAATGGCTTTATCACAATCAGCACCGATATGCATCAAATGGAGCTGTCCTGCAGCTGGAAGTGGGTGATGTCATTTGCATGAAGCTCCTCCCACGTTACACCATCTATGACAGTCCAGGTAACCTCAGCACTTTCAGTGGATTCCTCATTTACCCATTATAGTGATCGACCATGTAAGACTGGAAAACTGGAAACTGGTTGAAGAGATAGACCACTGGTCTATGAGACGAAGGACCTTGCCAAATTAACATTTGAACTCTCACACACACACACACACTTCTTCCCCGCATCCCCCACTCTTACAGAGATCACCCAAACACACATAAGAATCTATATGGTTTTAATTTGAACAACTATCATACAGTTTTGTACATGTGTTTAGTATTATTTGAAATGCCTACAAGTGCGACTGGTACAAGTGTCCTATTTCCAAATAAGTAAAACAAAGGTAAAAAGGTTTTTAAGAGTTTTTAGATAACATACACACAAAGGAGGGTGGATGGGTAAACCCTCCTGCTCTCAGAAGGTGTGAACTCAATGCTAATTTCCACTGTTAGCAAATGGTCCTATGTAAATCAACTTCTGCCCCCAGTAAGTCTGGGAGGGTGAACACAGTACATTTCCACTGTGAACTCATCATGTTTACATATGAAATGAGGTCTGGTATATAATGAAATGCAGCGGAAGGATCAGGGCCTTTTCTGTATCTCAGATCAGACTCGCCGAGACTCAGCATTCATGTATTTCATAATGTCGGGTAAAAGATTTTGCTCTTTGTTCTAGAACATTTGATGGTTTGCATTGATTATCTTTCAATTGATTATGAAATTGTAATAATACATTTACCTGACATAATAAATTGTTATATTTGATTATTCCAACAGACTTTGACTTTATTTTCATTGGAGTTAAAAGGAATAGTCAAACATTCACGTATATTTAATGATGCACAGATATCATTGAAAAACCTTTTCATTTATGGAGTCAGATGAAATAACGAGTCTATTACATAAGATAAAATGTATTGCATTAAATTAAAAATCCCTTTGGCATGAGAAAAGACGGAGCACGCGTGAGACCTTTACCTCTAATCGAGTACCGCCATTGGATCGTATTAGACGGCCTTACAACCACTGAACACTGACAAAACATGGACGCTTTTATTGATCTTCTGGATTTTCATTCTCTAACAGAAGACAAATTCACAATTACACTCATGCTGTATTAATCTGATACTGTACCATGGAAAAGTCAGTAACTATAATGATTTTACATGCTTTTGTTTATTTTACATGTCTAAAAACCTCTGTATCAGCTAAAAATATTATAATAATAATTAATTATTATTATACTCTTAATACTCTAAATAATATATTCATATGTTTTGTATTATTAAATAACAGTAATAAGGCCCTTTTATATTTTGCAATTTATTTCTATAATGTATAGCCTTCTAACCTTTAAAATGGCGTATCTGTGTGAACTGTTTTGTTTAAAGTCTGATGTGAAATGTGTTGTAGAACTGAAGCTAAAACAGTAAATAAATAATGTAATGTTTTAGTACAAATAATAATATAGTAATACTGCAGTGCACAAATACAGTCTACATGATAGAAAAAGTAAACAATTGTTGTGCTGCAGCTGCTTCTGAGCTGCTGTCAGGTTATATGAGAATGTGCTGATTACTTATGCACATTCATGATATGAATTAAATGTACATTCATTCTTATTAAAGCTAATAAAGTTATTCAGAGCAGAGAGAGATTTTCTCTTTCTCTTTTCTTGTTTGATTAACATTAAAGACAGCAGTAGGTAAATTCGGCTGCTGTCACTTTAAGACCGTCCAACTGTTTATGTCATTTAAGACATAACGATTGTGTTTACGTCAATATACCCCTCAAAACAGTTATTTTTCAAGATTTATTGCGCTTACAGTTTTTGCTTTAATTTTCTGCTTACACACATTTTCAAAACTTTGCCTCTTTTAGGCACAAATCCAAGAGTTGCACACACAGAATGCAAAATGCCTCACATCTCATGGTAAATGAAGCACTGCATTCAAAATTCCCGGTAAACACGAAAGCAAGAATGAACCTAAACTATTTATTTATTTATTTTTTACTTTACTGTAAGCATTTGTGGTTGTGAATACAGTAATACACAGTCCGAAAAACCCATAACTTGACCTTTGGCCTAAAGCCATGATTGGTTGGTTACAGTAAGTAAAGCAATGAGTGATGAGTTAGTGTGAGGCACTGATGAATTATTGTGGCAATTTGATATGTTGCGTTTGAAAAAAGTAAATCAAGATACTTCCTGTTAGATGTTTGTATGTTACATAGAGAATTGTAACAACTGTAACCGCACTGTTTCTCATTCGCTTATATATACAGACCTCGATAACACAGCAAATTATATCATTTCAAATGATAGGCTATTAGATTTGAGTACTATCAATCACAATAATCAGATAATGCATTCTTATTGATTCTAAATCATACAAAAAATACCAATAGCTTCAAAGAGAGCCGATGTAAAGTATAAGGCTGAATATTATAAGAAAATATGCAAGATTTTTTAGGTAAATCTATATTTATATTACACTGTTGCACTGTTAAGAGTTAGCACATTGCCCTGATATAGTATTAATTGAGGCTCCTGCAAAAGTCCTTTCTGTTTCTTTTCATCCACTATGGCCCCAGAGCTCCTTGTCATGAACTTGGGCCAAACAACTGTCATCTGTCATCTCTCACACTTCAAAATGAATACAATTAATGAACAGATCCAAGATATTTAAAAACTATATATCAGACACTGTTAATGTGTTCACCTTGAGATCAATGACCCGAAATCTGGCATGTTTTCACAGACTGTCCTTTTGTTCATGTGTAACAACTACCAAGTTTAGACATTGCATTCACAAAACATAGGCCAATTGGTAAATATGAGCCACACCCCCAAAAAATATATCAGCCTACATCTCCACAACGATTAAATCAATCAAAAATATAATAAAAACTTAAATTCTAAACTTTTGCAAACCCAATTTTGCAGAGGTGAAGTATACACCATACTTTTTACTCAAGTAGAGAGACCTTACTAGTGCCCATCAGATTTGAATAGTACTTAAATGATGAATGTAAAAAGATGCATTAGTCCTCAATGCCTATATGCCAGTCAAAAATAACAACCAGTTGATTTGTGAGGAGAGCGATCACAAGATGAATTTTCTAAAATCGAAATGACCAATTGCCATAAAACACCTCAATATTACAATAAATACTATAAATAAAATTAGTGAGACTCAGACAAACGGCCTAGGATGAGTTTGAAAAAAATAGTTTGTTTTATAGTTAGTAATTGTAAATGTCAGAAATTAATCGAATTCACATTCGATTAATGTGACTTGGGGCAAGTGACTTTCAAAAGCAATCACTCCCTCTTAGTGTTAGATAGATTAAAAGAAGAGTAAAAAAATCTGCATTGTTTACTGTTGTAAGGTAGGCTATGTGATAATAATATTTTAGTATTATGAAACATAACAGAATCATTGGAAAAGGCTAAATAGGTATATTCCAGTGGTTTTAGTGAATTACATTTGACTGTGATCTGCAGAAACTCTGGTAATTTTGTTGTTAAATGGTGACATCTAGTGTTGAGCTTTTAAAGTCTGAACATGTAGTGAAAAAATATTGCTAAATAAGCTATTTTGGCTATTTATAATAAATAGCAATATCGTTATTTTAGATAATACCTGTAGATTATAGATTTTAAAAATAACATCAGCAAAATTACAGACATCCTTTTTTTTCCTTTTTTGACATTTACAACTTTAAACAAATGTTTGAGATGGTCAAGTGGGAATTGCTTGATTCTGGGACTAGTTTAAACTCAGTTAAACTGGTCTAAACTAACCTTTAAATGAATATAATGTGAAACACTTATATCTGTAGAAATCTGACAATGCTTACAATAACATGAACTTTAAAAGTTATTTATGCATTTCCTTTCCTACAGCAGTTTTAAAATAATAGAAATTACATTGTATTACACAGAAGAGACGCTTTAAATCCGAACGTCCCTATAATAACATCGATTTTAAAAGTTATTTTTACTATTTTATTTGCATTTCCCTACAGCAGTTTTAATATAAATATGCATCATTATATAACAAATTACATTTTATTTTATAGTAGATATTTAATTTCATGTAAAAATTCAAACATCCCTTAACATCCATCAATCTGCTTTTCTATTATGTTGGTAATTTTCAAACGGCCCCTTGGCATGCAGAACATCTCCCCCCCCCCCCCCCCCCCCCCCTCTCTCTCTCTCTCTCTCTCTCTCTCTCTCCACCCTGCCTAATTTCAGCTGAATTTAGGATGCCTTTGACCCAGCACTGGATATGCATATGTGAAAGAGGGTGAGACAGCGAGAGAGGGTCAGGGACAGACAGGAAGAGTGACTCAGAGAGTGTGTGTGTGAGAGAGAGAGAAAGAGAGAGAGAGAGAGCGAAAGAGACAGAGGAATAGAGAGAGTGCGCAAGGCTGAGGACACAGATCAATGCATCTTTGTGCTTGCTGCCTCAGCAAGTGAAGGTGAGAGCAAATCAAAACAAATAAAAAGCAGACGCCTCTGGAGAGAAGCAAACAGCCTCTGAGGGAGGATGATCACTGTCTGCGGAGAGCTAGAGGAGTGACTGTCAAGGCAGGTGCAGTTTCAACACAAGCTTCTGTGTGGATTTGAATCATCTTAGTGTCTCTTCACTGCACCCACTTACTGGACAACAAGACCTCTTGTGGATACTGAAACCTACAGAAAAAAAAAAATGCCTGCAACATGCCAGGAAGCTCTGAGGTTTGCGTCTCGGGATGTACAGTAACTGAAGGTAGGTGCTTGTGTATGTACAAAATAAAAGTCTATTGTTTGTGCTGTGGTCTTTATCTGATTTCTGCAGGATGTAACATTGATACTGATTAAAATTGGTTAGTTGTTGTGCCAGAGCCGTGGCATAGCGGTTAGTGCATGAGCTGTGGCGGTACTAGTTTGAATCCTGCTCGCAACATTTACTGATCCCGTTTCCCTTTTTTTCTCACTGCAATAAAAGGCTGCATGATTGTTGTGATTTCTGAAGGAAAGACTGTGAGTCTTGTGCTTCACAGACTACAATCTTTCCTAGACTGACTTCAGGCTGTTGACATGTGTGGTGCCACAGCCTGGTGCCACCCAGAGGGGTCAGCTTGACATCCACAACAGAACATCAAGAAAGAGAGATTCTAGGGGGAATGAACAGCAAGATGATCTGAAATGTTTGCACATTCAAGGCTGGGGGCTGAGGGAATGTGTGTGTGTGTTCGCTGGAAATGTGATGGCGAAACAGTAAGTGATGACGGAAAGTGACGAGGTTTGGCTCACAGTCACGGTATAGTTTATTGTGACTCTTCAAAGTCCCATGATTCCATTTATCCATGTCATGATGATATATTTTAAAAACACATACATTCATACATACGTACATGACATGTTTGTTTTTCTATCAGCAGAACTTTACATTTTCTTTACCTTGAGCTAATGATCCAACCTTTCACAAACCCTTCTGATTTTTAAAACTTTCTTTCATTCATTCTAAACTACTCTCCACACACTGAATAAAGATATTGTAGTAAAAAGTGAGTGACTGCAAATGTTTAATATATATATATATAATAACATCATAACATAACAAATAAAGTATATATATATTTCATAAATTAAACAGAAAAATATTTATATAAAATATTATAAACAAATGTGTAAAATATATAAACATAGAACGAATAAAGTCACACACACACATACTATACTGTATATATATATATATAACATATTTTTATTAGACTTTTTGGTCTGTATCTTTATTAAGTGTGCAGACTAAATTTTTCAACTGCAAGAAGCAATTTATGTACAACAAAGTGCAACAATTTTTTGAAAACATATCTATTAATACATTAGTATACATTACACTAGTATACATAAGATTTGAGTATGATATTTAGCATCGTTCCACATGAGATGGTCTCCACATAGGTGGAGTTCGCACTTTCCTTTTGAGGACATTTGGTCCCTAAAATGTACGCAAAATGACGCACACACATTTTTTATAACAGCCACTTATTAGAGTGGTTCATTAGAAAATTTACTGTCAGTTGCTGATTAACACCCT